AGAAAAAAATACCCTTTTTTCCAAATAAAATTTTTCTACCTCAGAAAATGTAGAAAGGAAGCAAAAAGACTCCCACAGGATTGTCTTTACCTTTTCCTGCATCTTCTAATGCAACCTCCTTTAGAGAAAGTTCCCATCTCTTTGCAAAGACTCCTGAGCAAAACTTTTCTTCCTTGTAATATTCTCAAAGCCCAGACCTTTCATACTAGTTAGGAGGTCTAGCAGGTTTGGCTGGTTTCCTTCAGAGCTCTGATGTCACAGCCTTCAGAGTCTAGATATGCAGAGGCTGCAGACACCCTTAGAGTGTCTGGAACACTTTGCAGCAAAAGCAAAGTTAGTGCTTTTGGATAATACCATCCCCAAAATCCTACAACACCATCATGGTAAAAGACAAAGGATTAAGTAACCTTGGAAAGTGGGGTTTGGAAGAAGAAAGTGTTCTGTATGTAGGAGGAATATTGCCTGAGAGTATTCAGAAAGGGTTTACCTAGGGTTGCCAGGTATCCGTTTTTTTACCGGACAGTCTGGTATTTGCACCCTCTGTCAGGCAGAAAAATTCAGAAAATACCGGACATGTGCAATATATGGTATTTTCTGAATTTCCAGCTGGGCGCCGGATGGAAGCCTGGCAGGGGTGGCGGAACGACTGGGAGGCGGGGCCGCAATTGGCACTGGGAGCCCTGTGGTCACGCGCAACATTGCCAAGGAATTGTAGGTAGGGTTGCCAGATGTCTGGTATTCACCCCGACAGTCCAGGATTTGCGGGCTCCATCCGGTAAAAAAAACCCAGGAAATGCCGGACATGTGAAATGTTCGGTATTTCCTGTTTACCTGGAATAGAAGCCCGGCAGGGACAATTTTCCCCTGCCGCATCTGGCGGGGACGGGGGAGTGAGGAACGTGGCAGAGTCATAGTGAAGGGGGGGGAAAAGGGGGTACTTGCCGGGCACCATGCTAGGGGGCGCCGGGCTTGGGTGGGAGTGAAGCACACACTGCTCCTGCCCACATGACCAGCAGAGACCCGGGAACTGGCCACGTGATGCCTCCCTCAACACCAGCCGTGGCTAACCCTGGCTCTTGCCCCCCAAAAGTGCAGCTTGCGAAGCTGCTCCTGCGCCCCCCCCCAAACGGCCCCTGCCAGCTCCACCCCAGCCCCTGGCTTTCCTGTGCTTACCAGGTGGAGCTGCAGGGTTTTAAAAATGGTGCCCAAGATGGCGGCTGTCTTAAAGGGGCAGCCTCCTTAAAAAAAAAAGGTTATTTATTTATTTATTTTGCTCCACAATTCTGTTCTGGGTTTTTTTTTCTTAACAATTTTGGTCTCTCCCCCCTCACCCCCAACAGAATTTTTTCCCTTTTTTTGGGGGGGGGGGCGATGTTCAGTATTTTTTGTTAAACTATCTGGCAACCCTAGGTTTGGCACCAGTGTCATAGGAGAGGAGGGCTGTGACCATCCTGCCATACAACCTAATCAGTCCACCCCCAGTGATTTGCACGAGGTCAACCTTCTTCCTGAAAGGATCCTCATTATTCGAAGAAGACATCACTGTCTAAATTGAAAAGCTCTGTCATAGCCATTTGCTAAGTGCAGTGAGGACTAATAGGATTTCTCAACAGTGCACTGAAAGTGGTTCACTAGCAGCAATGAGGATTAATTTAAAAATGGAAGCATATGCAGTAAATTAACTGACATGTAAATATCTAATACTTATAACCAAAATTAAACAAGCTGACAGGAATTCCACCGTGGAATAATGGTCCTGAGCCCCACTGTTAGCGGAATATGGTATGTCTAATAGAGCTTTATGGAATTACCTCTTATATGCAATACGCATTGTGACTAGGTAACAAGGGTTCTGATTCTGCAGGGGTCTGGTATGGCCAACTACCTCCCCTGTGTAGTATAGCCAGACTATTAGACACATATTAAACACACAAAGTAGGTTATTTCCTTGGCAGAATAACTATTCTTCTCCAATTATGCTCCTTTTTTTGATGAGCAGGGAACTTTAGAAGTTGTTCCATCAAAACCAACACTCAAAACAGCTGGGAAAACTGAAAAGACAATACATTTGGGCACCCACACTCATTTGACATGAACATTACAACATTAGCAATCTATGGCTTATTGTGGAGTACAAAAGGCAATATCACTCTACCTCTTAAACCAAAAGGAGTTGGATCACTCTTTACTTCATGTCGTTTAGCTTTTTTGTCAGGGCTGGTGGGAGAAGCTGCAGTAGGATGAATAGGCAAAAAACACAGAAGAGAGATATTGAAGAACTGGAAAAAAGAGAATAGGTAGATTGCATGCTAAATACCTTTGAGTTTATACTGGAATGTAATAAATGGTTTTTGATTAGTCTAATTTAGTTTAGTTGCCACTGACTGAGTATAATAAAATAAATTAATTTTGGGCACTAAACTGGGCTAAACTGGCAAGGGCATTTTCGCAATTATGTATAGAAATGTATGATTTTTTTCCTAAAATAACTATAAATCAACTGTAAATCTGCATTTTAGGTACAAATATTATAAAAAAAACAATCATTTTATTCTGGCAAAACTAATTCTACAGCAATACCTGGTCCTGTCAGAAGGATCATTGGCAATGTCAGGTTTTTACCAGTAGGAGATGGAGTTTCTGTCAAGGCAAGCATGGAGTATTAGTGCTTACCTCATATGTGCTTTGAGTATTTAGACACACTATGCTGATACAGTCTCTCCAGATAGAACTCAAAGGTAATCAGTGTCGAAAAAGACATGTGAAGAGTGTATTTGAAAATCATGTGTTGTGCTAAGTGTTGTATTAGTGCAGACTATTAAGCAGAGCAAAGCGGAAGACTTCTTGAAAAAAACCCGAATTCTTATTTCCCTATAACCTCAAATATAGCAGCATCCCTTGCACAGTCTTGCATTAAATACTGAAAATTTGATGAATAAGAAGTTAATGAGAAAATACTTCTAATAAAATATTGGTTCTCTACTGGTTTTAATACAAATAATAATCCAGAGCTCATTCACTTTGAGGGTAGGCACCTGAGGTTTCCACTGCCACCCTCCTACCGTGTTCCCATTGGAGGTAAGCAGCTTAAGCTTCTTCTGGAGACTCCACAAAAGGAACTTGTGTGTACAGGACCTGGATTCAGCCTTCCTCCATCTTGGCTAGCACTATGTTCTAAAATACCCCATACCAGTGCAATGGAAATTATAGGCACTTGCTCCTGTCCATTTCTCTCAGTGGACTTTCTACCTCCGGGCCCTTTGCCAGGTTCTATGATAGCCAAAAAACAACTTAACCTTAGAAGAGGAGCTAAGCAATATCTCTCTAATGAGTGTATATATTCACACAAACACCTGCACGTGATACACCAACTACAGCCTTGACTGGAAAACAGAATCTAGTTTGTTAAAAATTTACCTTTTTGACTTTTGAGGTTAGTAAAGCCCTGAAGTGTAAAGCGCTTTTTTGACAGTGCAGAGCATTCTGAGGTAGAACTAATTATTGAATTATCTACAAATGAGGAGAGAGATGAAAAGAGAGAAAGGGGAAAGACACATGAAAAGGTCAAGGCAAAAATCATCCAGCAGTATTCCAGAGAACTAGCATTTTGAGGGAGAAATAAAAATCAGTAAGTTCATGCATTGTAGAAGAATCCAAGCAAGAATTTATCACCTCCGTACAGGATTTATGTTTAGAAGTGGTCTAGTGGCTGAGCTCAGTAATGGGAACCCAGGCACAGAGGAATAAAGGGCTCTTCTAAACACACCCATCAAGGTTTTAAGAATTCTGAGGTAGTGTCAAGACATTTGTCCAGTAAAAGAGAGATCTGAGAAACCATCAAATCTGTAGGATCATCAACAATGCTGTCCCTGTAACATAAAAACCTAAGAGCATTTTCCTAGCTCTCACTTTACACTGGAGACTCCATTTCCCCTCAGTAAGGTACTCTATGCCCATGGATAATTGAACTGATAACTGAGACTCACCTTTGCCTCTCTCAGGGTACTTTGGTGTTACTGAGGTGAGACAACCTTCTGGGCTTGTGGGATCAGTTTTTCTCTCTTCTAGTTTTTTTAAGTTTCTTCCCTGATTCCTTGAAGGACTGTTTGTCAGAAAAAAATTCAGATTATAAACCTCCTGAAATTCTAAGTCTGAACAGGGATGGCAGATATCTGTCCCTGCTATAACTACAAGGCTGGTGTTGCTCCTTGCTACAGACATAGGTACTGAAGAGTACTGCATACACCCTGGCCCCCATTTCCTGGAAAGCTAGGATGGGGACTGGCACCCAAGATTGCAGCCATGTGTGTTATGATTGCTGCTATAGCTGCATTGGGCACAGCCAGTGGAAGGGTGCATGTTGCTTGGCTAGGGTGTGGAGGCCATGGAAGGACCAACTGTCTCCTGGCATCTCCGGGTTGGTGCCATGGCTGGGAGGAGCAGACACCTGCT